CAGTGTAAATCAAAGATTTTTGAGGTTAGTAGGATGAAATATGAGGATCAATCAAATAAACTTCATAGAACTGTGAGTATAGATCAGTATAAGTTATTTAGACAGCTGAATAGTATACTCTCTGTTACCATGAGATCACTGTCACTGCTGGCGAACATTAAATCGTTTGTTTACTCGAATTTGTCTCCATTTGATGGGAGAATTCATGGGCCATTGGATCGAGTCCCAGTGGCTTAATGGTTTACGAGCTCACCTTGTAAACAGAAGGTCCTGAGTTCAAACCACAGCGTGGGTGCGTACTGCTGAAGAGTACCAAACTAATCTGACGAAACAGCTGTCCAGTACTCCCAGGTTTTCCAGTGGTTCTCTAACCAATGTCAGCTCATGATGAAATCCTGTAACCAATTAAATCCCTACAAACCAACACTTGAATATACAATTGTATTGTTCTTCTATTTTCCAATATTCCATGTTGGTTACTGTGCATAGTATTCGGTATGTTAGGCGTAGTCTTCTTAAATCAGAGATAAGTTCACGATCTTTCGCGATTTGGAAATTTGGTAATAATGCTCAGAACGACAACGAAGGACAGCAACAATTACCGAATTCAAGAGCTACGATTAAACAGCTTAGCTATTACTTTCTTTTAATCAATTTCTAACCAACTCTTAACATATTTCTATTGCCACTAGTAATACTCTTTTTAAATTTAAAAGTTCTCAAAACAAAAACAATCTTAACACTGGTAAAAGTACACTTCAACAACAAAGGATAGATACAGTTTGTATTCATCTCACTTAAAATTATTGTAATTAAATTATTCGATTGAGTAAACAGAGTAAAGAGGGGAAGAGGGTAGGGAAAGTAAAGTTGATTAATTAACTTGGCAAAATGATGATGATACTTGAGTGGACTAATTTGCTGAAGCTATGCAATCGCGTATATATATAGCGTAAATTATGTTAGCAGTAAAACGAATATTTCCAAAGATGTGTCACTAGAAATGTAAATTTTAGATAACAAGTTACGTAATATAGCAAGTGTTAATGAGGGAGAAAACTAAAACAAAACTAAATAGAAACAGAAATAGATATTCTGAGAGAAATCTTCATCCAAAATGGATATCCAATAAGATTCATTGACAAAAATATCAAACCAAGAATTTGGAGAAATGAAACTTCACTTGCACCTGAAAAGAAACTTTACATGAACTTGGATTTCAAGCGATATTCTCAAGAGAAGGATCACATCATCTCTGAGAAGAACATTCTTTGCAGTAACACTAAGAATAGTGTTCTTCAGTCGCCCACTGATCTGCAGAAGCCTCAAGGACAAGATCCAGCATCTGACCACTTCTATGTGCATATATCAGTTCACCTGCTGCCGTGGAGCCAGGTACATCGGTTGTTCGACGCGCACCCTGTCCAAGAGGATTCAAGAACACTATCCAGCATGGTTGCGAAAAGGCGATAGTGGTGCAATAAGGAGTGCGATAATTGAACACCTGATTAACATTGATCATTTCATCTCAACAAACGCCTCCTTCAAAGTAATCCACAGAGTCAAGAGTAACCTACCAAAGGCAATACGCTGAAGCTCTGGCCATTCACATAGAAAAACAGGAGCTGTGCATACAAAAGAGAATTACTCAAACACTTCTACTGTCATGGTAACAACTTTCTTGATTTTGATAACTTCATTTTGTTTCTTTGCCTGTTCTTTAATTGCTTATAATTCTTGTATTCGCATTCTCTACTTTGTTCCTATATGTATCCTGAGTAAAACTCAATCACCAAACTATTCATATTATTACATAACTCCTTTTTAACAACTGTTCGTGACAACTCATCACCTTTGTTACTACCCTAATTTCATTAACACCTAATTTTCTTGACCGATTTTGTATTACGTAGCTCCAATTACCAATCTTCACCTGTTTAATTAAAATAACCATAATCAATTGTATTTTTGTTTGACAAACTTAATGTACACATACATACAAAATAACATACATATATATTTTCGATTGTACAGCTAAGAAAATGAATTCACCGGCGACAAGAGACTCTTCGCTGAACTACGTGTTTTGTTTTCATTAATACCTGGATAGGGATTATCCATGAATTCAAACTAAACAAGTAAACTGAATCACACTATATAATTGAAGGGATTGAGGAGAATCCAACTAAAATTTCAAGGACAGTTAACTACAGTGATAAGAAGGGGTATAAATTTTACACAGGGTCAATGAAGAAAATAATACAATTAAGAAACAAAAAAACAGTTACATTCCCAGTGTTAAGAAGATAGATCAGGCCCATTGTAGATTTAATAACTGAACAGACTTCTTATGTATGCAGAAATCAGGATTTAATATGTGAATTGCCATTGCTTCTGTCGTTTGGAGAAGTTTGATCAGTACACTTTTAGCCAGATTTCCACGTATTCTGCAGATGACTTTGAAGTTCCTTAGTGGGTTAGCTTGGTGTCCAGATTCGACTAGGTGTTCCAGGATAGAGCTGTGGAGGGGGAGGTGGGGATCTTTTTTCTCCTTTATAAAACCATGAATGTAAGTGTCCGATGATATATTTTGATAGGAAAAGGAAACGCTAGGTACGGCCGAAATATCTAGCTCCACACGAGCAGGTGATACACACACTGATGAGGCTAGCCAGAAGTGGTAGCTTAACTTCTTTCACATTCATCAGAATAATTGGTTTTGTAGAGAAAGTTAGTCGAAGTTTAGACGCGACGAAGGTTTTCTTCGATGAACTGGACAGGCGGTTGTCCAGTATTTCTTCCAATGAGTCTCTATTGAGAGTAACTTCTTCACTGAACGTCTTTTCTTTTATATGACTCAATGGGGATTTTTAACTTGGACTAATTTCAGCAATATTACAGTTTAAATATACCTAACAATAAGAAACTTGATAAGTCATAGTATTATCTGAATTCTTAGACAAGAAATCGGCTACCTTCTGACTGCTTTAAGTTTCATACAAAAAACGATTGCCAGATAATCAAAGATGTATTCTGTGAAGTTTCAATTTATCCATTGAAGGTAGGTGATTGAGAAAGGGATTTCTATCCGTTAAATTAAGTGGAATAGCATTCCTACTACAATTTAACATGACCTCAAAAACAGTAACGTACTGGTAGACTGTTGATATTAAATGGTTGGAGGCAATCGGTAGCAAGGATTGGACCAAATAGAGGACTAGACACACGACACTAGTTACTAACTTGTGTCCAATCAAAGCACTGGTAGACTACTACTAATCCACTAAAGTAAACATCATTGATGAAACAGAATGTGACGTCACTAATTGATAGAACCCAGTATAAAATAGCATATCATCCTTTCTCATGAATCGTGTGATTTATCTTGTTTTGGAGTTAATATTTTGATCTGTCATTTCTCAAGCGTATTGTTATTTAGTGTGTAATCAATTCATCATCTTTTGTCTCACGATTCGTCTTTGTCGGATCGCTAACCAATGAGAATAGTAATTGTCACAGCCAATAAGAACAATCCATTCCCACGGTTGCAAGCCGACTTTATTGTAGTGAAGATATGTATCTTAATAAAAAAAAAATATACATACAATATCTTACAGTCACAGACCAGCCTTTGTCTTTTTTGATATTTGTGTGGCTCAATTAATCGGAAGGTACAACGGATACATAGACGTATTGGCGTACCCTTCGAGTTCATTACCGCTATAAAAATTAGCAGGCGCAGATATAACTGCCTACTGGTGTCTTCTATGTGACTAATGGTTCCCGTTTACAGTCAGTCAGTCATTAGGAGTACAGAATTCTCCTTACAACCAAGCCAGAATTGAAAATAAAGAGGAAACAGGTATTTCATGGCATGTGTATCTAAGTTCAGACAACACAGCTACAAAATCTAAAAAAGAAGTGATGAGTATGGCATATTACGCACACATACGAGGTAGAATGTTGATGGATATACCAAAAGGATCTAAATTTCCGCAATATTTGGCATATTATTTAATAATAACAAGACAGGCATAGGTTGGATTGACAAAAGACTTTAGAAGATCAGGACTTCGCAGATGATCTATGTGTAACAGCACACAGAAGCTCGAAGAGCTACAGACAAAAAACAACATTTCGACAGGATTTCAAGTGAACGTAAAGAAGACAGATGTGATGAAAAGATACCCAACAACCAACAACAACAACAAAAACAAGCAGCAGTCACTACCACAACTCGAGAAATTCGAAGGAACTCACTTCTCCCATTTATCTAGGCGGCATCTTTTCAACTACAGGCGACAGTATGTATGGATGAGGATGTCAAAGCCAGCCAGCCAGGATAGATAAAGCAAGACAGACCTTTCATTAAATTGAATTCAGTTTTGAAATCTTCTGCACTAAGCATAAAGAACCCATATTCGGATCCCCAACACTAATATTAAAACAGATCTTCTGTATGTTTCAGAGACTTGACGAACGCGTTACGAAAAGCATTTTAAAGGAAGCTACTGCAGACTTCCATCAAAAAACTGTCCCCAACGCCCTAGATTTAGAGATCAGATGGCCGGTTTGAAAGGATAAGCGACAAAGAACACTTACAATGAATTAAAAACCCTTTTGACCAAGAAATATTCAAAATGAAGATAGACTAGATACACATACTGAGGGGACCATGGAATGGAAGTCGAATTGGAAACAATGAGTAAGGCGCATATTCAAGGGTGATATATAGAGGAGATTGCGTGAAGAGTACCGGTGAAAGCTTATGGGTAAACGTGGAACTAACTAAAAAGGACGACAGGGAATAGGGTACTGTTGAAGCCCTATGTTCCACACAGAACCCAAGGGAATAATAATAATTATGAGAAGAAGAAGACGAATTGGGAATAACCACAGTGGACTTGAGATATCATATTGATATATCGATTTCATTTTCCTTAGGCGAATAATACATACACTGACAGACAGAATATATACTCAGATATAGATCCACTTACCTGAATAGTACCATTTGAATGTCCAGTAAATATATAACGTCTTGGATGTGCACCGACTCGATTGAATCCATCATGTTTATGTACAGTAAATGAACTAATAGTACTTCTATCCACTGAATGAATAACACATATTCTAAAAAAATATCATCACCAATGAAAGCAAATAAAGCAAATAATGTGATTAGTATTCATACAAAACATCGAATGAAGACTAATATGACAAAAACAATATCACTATAGATATGATCTAATTCATCAGTCATGGACCAAAGTCATGTACACGCACTGTCGATTGGACCACACTTGTTGTGTCAGTGTAGATTAGTGACACTTCCTGACTACTTTGCAGCTAACCGGTTCGGCGTTCAGTAATGCTCATAGGCAAAAAAAGCAACTGAAAACTAAATACCTAAACACTTTCTTCATCTTTGTCAAGAGTAAAATTCACAGTATGTGAAATGTACTCATTTTATTTTGAAGCTTTTCATTAAACTGCAGAGTCTAAAATGGACACAGTGTTAACGAAATAAGAACATATATTTTTAAAAATTCTATAACCTGAAGTTTAACTATAATAGTATCAGCTTAATTCTGAATAATGTTTATATAATGTACAGGATTTGGCAACTCTAAAGAATAGCAGCCCAAACCGAAACGACCTACGAACGCACAAACGACCTTGAGGAACCAATCAGGTGACTGTGTTTTTTTCAGAGGTAATTTTTTTTTTTTTTGATTTACAGCTTGATTCCACACCGTATTTTCAGTACAAGTGTGGAATTTTCAGCATGGATATCGGTTGCCCAAATTCAGGCATACCATAGATATCGAGTGTGCGCCGGCAGGGGCTCGAACCCCGGACCATGTGCATGGTCGGCGAGAGTCCTAACCACTGTGCCACCGACGCACCTTTTGCGTTGTAAATTCGCTCCGGATCTTGTTTTTGATTACTCTTTGGATAACGGACTGATTGGAAGGTCAAAAATTTGTCAGTGCGGAGGTGATATGCGTATACAAAAATACACAAACTACATTGATTGGTTTGTGTGCAGGTGTAATGAGTGCCGAAGGAGAAAATCAGTTCGAGAGGGTATGTCGTTCTTTTTTAGTTTACAGATACCTTAGACACTTTCTTCTCAAAGTCTAAATTACCCTTAACAAAAATTTTAATGATCTGTAATTTCTGGATACTGAACAGACCAGTTACAGCAACGGCTTATGAAACGGAAAATTCAGAAGTTTCTGCAGTGCAGTGGTACCACTACTGCAGAGACGTATCGTGTTAGGAAATGAACAGGCTAACTCAAGTTCTTGGAGGAGTTGGCGTAATCGTTCAAACTGATGAGACCATATTAATAAAAAGGACATATAATCGCGGCAGATTACGAGCAAACCAGCAATGGATATTGGGTATCTACGACACCACCCTCCAAAAAGGATATATTGAGGCGATTCCTAATCGCAGTGCAGGTGTATTATTGCCTATTATCCAGCGCTTAGTGCTGCCTGGGACCACTATTCACATAGACGAATGGAGTAGTTACGGTCAATTGTCGAATATCGGATATATTCATCATGTAGTCAACCACACAAACGGTTTTCGCAATCCTTTGGATGGAACTCATACTAATTCAATCGAAAGTTTCTGGAGTCACCTAAAAAACGGATTAGATTGGTGAATGGATCAAGAAATCCAATAATATACAGTTATCTGGATGAGTTTATGTATAGAACTTGGTTTAACATGATTATGAAGACACCTATGACAAATTGGTAGCTTTTTTTGCAACATATACGAGAACGTTATCCTTTGTAACTATTTTTTTACATGGCATTACTTTTATATAGACAACTTTTTACAATTATCCGCCGGTTTTTAGGCTTCTGATTGGTCGAAGTTGTCCTTGACAAGGTCGTTTGTGCGTTCATAGGTCGTTTCGGTTTGGGCTGCTATTCTTTAGAGTTGCCCAGAATTTTCAGCGCGGTTTATAGTATGATATAATCTCTTAGTCCAGGATCCTCAAATAAAAGATTAGTTGACAGTAGATCATGTGACATAGTTCTATCTGACCTGAAGAGCAAACCAATCCATTATTATATCCCTTATTTTTCTCCTTCGAGAAATACACGATGACATTTTATTGAATGTCAATTATAAAAAGTTCAAGAGTACATTTTGCGAACCAAGGACTCCAATTAGGAACAGTCATCTCATGTATTGGGATAAGCTGCCATCGAGAACAAAGCTTTTTCCCATATTTTGTAGAAACTTGCGAATCAGAAGTTTGTAAATGTTTTAAATACCCACCAGAGAGAATAATACTAGAGGTGATACTTTAGTAGATTTAAACAAAATAAATAAAAGGAGTTATATGCAGTATACTGATGGAGGTTTTCAGTAACCCACGTTTTGAGCAAGTCGCCTATGTGTGGTTTAAGGGAGAAACCAGTGGATGAACTGCGACGACATGATCACAGTTACAAAAAGCACAAAAAGAAAGTGGTTATTTGCCATAAATTTGCAATAATATCCGAGAAGTTTTGTTAGTTGACTTGACAACGGAAAAACACTAACGGATTAGCAACATACAGGGAAAAGATTACGCAATACTTTACGAGAGTAAGCATTTGGAAATGACAGGAATTCACTTATGTGAGTTAAGATCACTGATCATATCTATAACCATATATTCTCTTAATTTACCAGGAGATATGCCAGCTTTGATGCATGCCTAAAACCAATTCGAAGAGTGTTACGTCAACTGCTTTTCAGTTATGACTTCCCTAAGGATAAGCAACGTCTAGTAAAAGCCTTTGTCAATACATCAATCATCATTTTAGAAAACTAAATCATTCTAAAGTTTTAGAATGTCTAGTAATGGAATTAAATCTCTTCTCAAAACCCATTAAGGGGAAATTCACGGTTTCAGAAAATGACCAGACCTGATTATAAGAGCTTTAACGGATTAGACACACGTTGAAGAGAACATCAAGTGATATCACCCATCAGCTACATCCTCTCAAGTGGAACTTCGAACCTCGGAAGCAACAGGTTGAGCACCAGTCCTAGAATGATATGCCGAAAGGTTATCTGAAAATAAAGTGAAACCTTGAGGGCAATCGTGGAGCCAGATGAGCAAATAAGTGTTTTAGAGAACTGCATGAGAAATTCCCACCCAAACATTAATGAAACCAAGAAGAGCAGTTCAACGAAGAGGCTCTTGTCGGAGAATTCATCTTCTTCTTTAGCTGTGGAGTCTCATTTATATCAAAAATTTTCCATGAAAGAGGGTAGTAACGAAAGTGATGAGTTGTCATAAGCATTTTTATTATTGTTTCCTTTAATTCCTAGATGAACATAGGGCTTCACCCGTGAGTCTCCATTGCGTTCGGTTATCTGCTAGAGTCTTCACCTGGCTCCAAGTCTGTCCACACGTTTTCATCTCCTCTTCACATGACCTCCTCCAAGTCACCCTTCCACTGACGAAAAACTCGCCGCTTCTCTTTCGGGTTCCACTCGAGCAATGGCTTGTCTAGTGATGTCACTTGATGGTTTCCTCAGAGTATGGCCAATCCACCTATTTCCATTTCTTCCTGCCTATTTGTTTCACAATCGGTTCCTGTTGGGTTGGTTCGCTCATTGCCAGAGATCCCTGTTGCTGATCTTTTCTGGTCATCTGATCTTGAGTATTGAGGGAAGACAACTGTTAATGAAGGTCTGTAGTTTGTTTGAGATGCTCTTTATGACGCGCAGTGCAAGTCTCTGATCCGTATAGTAGCATAAGCATAGGTGTTAATATTAGTCAATGAATAAGAGCTACGTAATACGATGCGTAATTTAGTGGATGAGTTGTAATCAGGATGCACATAGAAAGGAAGGAGAATATGAAATTATGTGTGAGTTCTAAAAAAAATACAAGAGTTATAAGAAGTTAGAAAAACAAACAAACAAACAAAAATCAAGCCAGTAGAAATCAATACGATTGTTACCATGATAGTAGTACAAGTAGTTGAATAGTTTTCTTTAGTATACATAGTTTCAGTTCCCCTGTCTGAATGACTAAAGCTCCAGCAATACAAGGGGAACAAAAGTGCATTGCCTTTGGTAGGTTATTCTTCACTTTGTAGATCACTTTGAAGGAGGAGGCGTTTGTTGAGGTGGAAAGTAATCTATGTAGTGAAGACAATACGCTTTTGTCTTCTTTGTATTGCTGAAGCCTTAGTCCCTCATTTGGAAAAATCAGAGTTATATATACAAGTGAGAATCATTCAAGCACTTTTACTATCATGACGACAACAGTGTTGATTGCCATTGACTTGACGTTTATATGCTCGCTTTTATAACTCCTTATATTACTCTTGTATTTCTTTACAACTCTTACATAATTCAGTGTTTTTCTTCGTTTCTATGTGCATCCTAATCAGAACTCACTCACTGAATTATTTATCTTATTATGTGACTCTAATACACTTATTCAACTACTTTTATGCATTGACTAATATTAACACCTATACTTAATGGCAACTCATCACTTTTGTTACTACCTTCTTCCATGAAAGAAGTTGTATATAAATGCGACTGAACAGCTAGAGAAAATGAATTCGCTGAGAAGAGTGTCTTCGTATGTTTGGCATGCGATTCGCTCCTGTAAAATGGAAGATGCTGCTACAGGAATAACTGGACTACGTCAACTCCTAGCTTAGTGATAGGGAGTGAAGTGATAGAACATGTTGACCACTTCACCTATTTGGGAAGTTGTATCAGCACCAACGGACTGATTGGTGACGAAATCTCAGCACGGATCCAAAAAGCTCGGGCTGCTTTCGCTAACTTACACCATCTCTGGCGTAGGCGTGACATCCGGCTGTCAACCAAGGGACGGGTATACTGTTCAGCAGTTCGCTCCGTCCTTCTCTATGGCTCTGAAACATGGCCAATACGAGTTGAAGACATGAAAATGTTGACTGTTTTTGATCATAGATGTCTACAACCTCTTTCTCACGTTAGGTGGTATAATAAGGTAAGTAATGTTGACCTTAGGCGAAGAGTGTTGGGCAAAGAGGGAAAATCAATCGACGAGGCTATAAAGTTACATAGATTGAGATGGCTAGGTCACGTGCTGCGCATGCCTAACCATCGCCTCCCCCGACGGGTATTACTAGCTGATATAGGTGCAGGCTGGAAAAGACTAAGCGGTGGCCAAACAAAAACATGGCATCAATCCATGAAATCCTTGACAGTTAAACTGGGTCAGGTAGGGAGATGCAGACTTCCGGGTTGGGGCCCTCGGGACTCTAAGAATCAATGGCTGGAGACAATAGGTGACATGGCTCAAAATCGTTGTCAATGGCTTATGCAGATGTATTCAGTCTCTTTAACCTTCATATTTCTTTCTACCATTACTCAATCTGTTTCACTCTTATACTTGTCAAAACTCTATTGATTCTCTTCACTCATCTTCTTGTCTACCTTTGTGTGCTATTTGGAACGTGGCAACTGGAACTGCTGCACTTCGGTTCCAAGTTCTATGTTGAATCCAGACAGACAGACAGACTTCGCTGAACCACTTATCTTGTTTCTATTAATAGAGATGTTCCCATGAGGCTTCATGTTCCTCTTTGACAGTAAGCAATAAAAAATAACAATAATCATAATAATAATAGCAATGATAATAGTAACGATACTAATCAAAACGTAATGTTTACTCGCTTAAAAGAAAAGAGTGTAAGAAGCTTCAAAGTAATAGATAGACTATTCACCACTTGAAGAATCTTCAAGAACTATTAGCAAAATATTTTGATAAGTTAATTATTGAATTAATAAAGTTAAAAGTCTATGAAATAGAATTATCTATTAGTTAGAAAATGAATTCAAGTCTACAGACAAATTAAAGTTAATAGATAAAGCCCAGAGTTTATTATTTACTTCAAAAATTATGATATTATCAAGTCTTTTTTTAGAAGGTAAACTCTATGTCACATGAAAAATATAACTCTGTGATAGTAACTGATTAAATTCCAAAGATAGTTATATTTGGTAAATAATCTTAAGTTTAATCAGTTGTATAATGTGATACTATAATCCATATTATATTCCGTTTTTGGTATGATACAGTGTAGTTGTAATCGCTTACGCATGCTTTACACAAAGTGAGAACAAATTTATTCTTCCTTCTTTGAGACTCTTCGGCAGTAAGCATCCATCAATGGGATTAGAATCCAGGACCTTATGGTTACAAAGGAAACCTCGTAAGGACCATTCAGCCACTGAGACCCAACTCAATGGCCAGTCCATAAATTCCAACTTCTACTAATTCGTGATTTTAGCGCGACTGGCACAAGCCAATGTCATCTGCAGCGAGTATCTCACCTCACTGTCAACCGGATGGAGCCCACTGATTACGACTTCTCACGAGAACTCTGGGCAACTTCATCTTGTAGTCAGTCACTAGAGAACATCAGATGGTCATGCTAAAATCAGGAGTTCGTTGAAGTTAGAATTTATGGGCTGGTCATTGCATCGGATCCTAGTGGCTAAATGGTCTATGAGGTTGATTTGTAACCAGAAGGTTTCTGGGTTGAAACCCACCCAAGTGACTGATTCTCAACACGTTTGGAACAGAAAGAGCACTAGTGTTGTATGACAGCACAGAATAGGTGATGGCTTCTTGAAGTCGGTCAAACATCGCTTATTTAGAATAGTTTTTTGAATTCTCTTTGTATAAAGACGATACTACCAGGCAACGAACCACCTTAGGCTAAATAACTCCACGCTCTTCAAAGCAGAAGAGTAGCATAACTAGCTTGCTGGTCGTCTGTGAGAAATACCTGACTGCTACCACACCTCCTATTAGGCAACAATACAGCTACACCGTCACATTGCAAACAGTGTAAGAGATACATAGCAACCACCTTCAGTTTCACAACTAGCCAAACTTGCAGGAACATTCGTTCCAGTCACTAGAGCTAATTCATTGATCGTTAAGATGTGTGACCCCACTTGAAGGTAGCAGCTATCGATCGGCAGATGAAGTTTACCACAATGTGATAAAACTTAATGATTACCCAAAGCATAACTGTTACAAAAACATACGTTAATCAAAGTAACTTGCTAATATCTGACGATGATTGGAAGCGATAAATGTGTGTTAATCACATCTCAAATAAACGGTTGGCGACATCTGGTACTCCACTAAAAAAACAACCTAGAAACAGACTTCTATGAGTGTCAAAACGCATAAGTCAACCAAATGTTTCTACAAATGAAAACAAATCCACAGACTGTTTTCAAAAACACTCATCAGAGAGTGAGAGACAAGACGCAAGAACCCTAGTAAAGATATTTTTCGATGATTTCATCCTCAGAATCTGTATAATCACAGTTTTTGAATAGTTGACATAGTACCGAGGCGAGATTAAAGGAGGTATCAGTTTTTTTTAAAACTTGTTATGAAGGTGTGTAAATCATAAGAGACATAAAAACACTAACCCAGCATGGCTACAAAGTAGCAGCCCTAGTTCAGTCAGAAGCGCTATAATTGAATACCACGTCAGCAACTGACTCATCAATTCAGAATTGTTTACAAAGTGAACATACATCTATCAAAAGAAGTGTTTTGCCAACTTCTTTGTACTATAGAATCCGTCAATTTATGCATCGAGAAGCTGGAGTTATGTGTTTCAAAAGAAGCCAGTTTAACCTCTACATTTACCATGGATCTAGTTCTCTTTGGTTTCTTAGTTTTCGTTTCTTTTTCTTCCATCCCCTTCATTTATTTTTCATTTCAGTTATGAAGAAACTATTATTCCAATTTGATTCCACGCCTTTTCCGTTCAAATCTGTCTTTATTAAAAACTATTTTACATACTATGTAACTATTTTCTAGTCGTATATAATTTTGTTTCTACACAATTATGCAGCTATTGAAGATTAAATGGTCGAAAAGATATCATCATTGAAGTTCTCTCTAATGTTTCTAATAATAATGCTGATTGCCTCCAACCATCTAAAACCAACACTTCACAGTGCAGCGTGATGCCGAACCACCTAGCACAGTGGCCACATTGTAAACTTAACTGAGAGAATTCAGTCTGCACCAAAGATAGAACTGGTCACAATACACTAGTTACTGACTAGTGTGCAATCAAAAATATCCAATACAGTCCAACAGGAGCTCAATCGCGAAACCGAATGCCTCAGTGGCAACGTCTCTGACTGCAGCTCTCACTGATTGACGCGGGTTCGAATCTCACAAGCGACATGAGTTCCTTCAAGGCTCCATATACGCCTTGACGACCTAGGTCAAAGGCTTCACTGTGACCGATTATCTCCAACCATCTAATACCAATAATGCACAACTGTTAGACAACATGTGATAAAACAAGAAAATCCCACTTAAATTCAATTGCTTACCGTTTACCAGTTGACGCTAGGCGTACAAATAACTGATTTGCTTGTGGTGTTAATTTCTGTACAAATACTAAGATATCTTCTCTTCCACCATATGGGCCTGGATTATTCGCGTATTCATGTACATCAATAATTGGACGAATAATGTGTTTATTTGCTTTAGTATTGTCAGTAGTTGTAGTAGCAGTAGCAGTAGTATTGCCATTAGCTTTAGATTGATTCACTTTTGGCCTTCTAATCACTGATGAGGTGCTTTGTTGACTTCTGTATGCATCTATTTCATCACCAGGCTGTTGTGCAGCAGCACTCTGTTGTTGGTGTTGTAAACTTCGACTAGCTGATGAAGAACGACTTTTCATTCTACTGGTACTATTATTAGTATTATTATTATTTTTATTCCTATGATTGTTTTCATGATAGCTGGTTATAGCAACACAATCAGTTGTAAAATTATTTCCATTATCTCCTTGATTTATCTCACTTTGACTAATTGAATGTGAATCAGATGGATCTGAATCGAATTGAATATTTAACCTATTTATAATAAAGAATTAACAAGAGGATTAAAAAAGACATTTTTTCTATGCTACTCATAAGTAAGTAGATCAATTTGAATAAAATACGAAATCATAGCTCACTAGTAAATGACTTAAGGTTGAATTTCCTGAAGCTACAGTGAGAATTTTTAATCGATTTATCCACTGAGTCATGGTGGTTGGAACAATTAGTTGTTGAGAAAATTAGGCGGCAAAGGTGGTATATAGAAAGCTGGCAAACGCCATAAGTCATATAATTCATTGGACTCCCAATTAGTGCCTGATGCCCTCAGGTCGATCTTTAGTGAGACTACAGATGAAAAACTTATATTTCTACGTCTGTTATATATATATCTATATATATATATATATGACTGATTTCCAAAACCTTGTTTAAAAATCTCAAGTACAGAGACTAACAATATTAAGAGAATGTTACCAAGTTACGTAGCTGCTACTTATTAGTGATACTGGATTCATTGGTTGGTTAAAATCAATTAGCCCCTGATGCATATAAGCACTATGGGGTTGTATTGTAATAATTGAGTTGTTAACACTATCTATATTGCTCAGTAAGCCTATATAAATCAGAGTATTACCTGTACAACCTTTCACAGACTGATAAACACTTATGTATTTTTAACCAACAACGATATACGTAAGGCCAGCTATTATGAAAGGCTAAATTTAAATACAAATACTATTCTCAATGAATCTTAGTCATAAAAACGTATTCCATTTTGTTTTAGCTTTTACACTGTCACATTTTTCATTACCAACTAGTATTATGAAAAATTACACGTTTACCTTGAAAACAAAAAAGCAACAGTCTACTTATGAAATAAAACAACAACAAAATTAAAAGTGGTAAATACATACAAAAAGAAAACGCAAGTATTACAAAATCTCATAAGATTATGCGCAGTATATGACAAGTAGAGTAAATATTGGTTAAAAAGCTTCTTGTGTGGAATTTCTGAGTTGAGGATCCTAGAACGATATAAATCCCATGTATGAACAACTTACCACTGACTACAGATCAAAACGGGGTAAGTAGAGATGTATCATTTTTGGTGTCGACCTTTATTGACCCCTGGGCAAAGAGGAAACAATAGCTGCTTTGCTGGTAAGAAAAACAAACTATATGACTACTACACAATCCCGAAAATCACAACACACACTGTAACCGATATCCTAACAACTTTCCTTCAATATTAGAACCTGAAAAACTTTCATTTTAGCCAGTTTAGCACGTTATATAGTTGCGATATGCACTCCTGACCATCATGTTACAGTAGTAGCTATCGGTCGGGGTCTGCATATTTGATAGGTGACTGGTGAAACATGATCATTGAAAGTGGACGACATGAAAAGGTTAGCTGTTATTGACCACAGATGTTTGCGTTCTGTCTCTCGTGTTAAATGGTATAATGTGGTGAGTAATATTCGGGTTAGGCGTAGAGAGTTAGGTAAGACAGTTGTGCAGCTGCATCAATTGAGATGGCTTCGACAGGTTTCACACATCTCGAGCCACTGCTTTTCCAAATGGAAAATGTTAGATGACTTAGGATTAGGTTGGGAGAGTTAGGAATCACCGCTGCACCAAGACACGGCATCGATCCATCAACTTTTCGTTAGTTAGTTCTGGCAAGGCATGTAAAGAGGTATAAGATGAGTGGTTGGGTTTCTGGGGATGAGAAAAACCAATGGCCATAACCAATTTTAATATCAGTTAGTCAGTAGGATTATTATGGGACATATTTTTTTCAAATAACTTAGTTCACGTGTGCTTGAATCTCTGAATACTGAAATTACTTACACGCAATCACCTAATTTTCTAAATTTCTTTTGAATGGAGGCTATAAGTTGACTGAACATGTAAAAAGATGTGTGCTAGTTCTAAACATGTGACGATTATTGAAAAAAATAAAATAACAAAACGCCTTAAGGTGCGTATAACTACATTTATCAAGTTGAGAGAGTGATATGCAGACAGAATATTCTTGTAGCATCAAATAAATTTATTATTGACTTTTCCTTTCAGTTTCAATCTAAAACTAAATTGTTTCAGCGAATTTCAAGTGGTGTCTTTAACTGAACTTATTGTATTATGATGCATTATTTTTAAAAGATTTAATTTCTATAAGTAAACAGTATAAGAGAAAAGGCGGTCAGCGAAGAGTTACCCTTTTCGGCGATATCATTCCCAAGCTAGACAATCGCATACATATGGTTAGTTGTCTTAGCAACAAAGTGAATATTTCATAGATTGGTCATCAAAACTGTAAATTTTAGATAACGAATAACATAACAAAGAAAGCGTTAATCTGGTAGAAACTAAAACAAAATTACTAGAATTGTAAATTTTACCTAATAAATTTGGTTAGTGGGTCAGAAACTAAAGTAGGATTAATTTTTAAGTATTGATTTTGTAGGGAATTTTGCTTGATTGATTGGAGGATTTCATCATGAGCTGACATCAGTTAGAGAACCGTTGGAAAACCACCTGGGAGTACTGGACAGCTGTTTCGTCCTAGTCTGGGATGACTAGCCCTATTCAGGCAGTTAACCTGGGGTTCTAGTAGCAAGCCGTGACCAGTAGAGTGCAGCAGGTCAAACGTGAGGCAGTAACTAATCGAATAAGACATTGCGAAATGGTCGCGCTTTGTCATGAATCGGCAGAAGTTGGAATTCATGGGTTGGCCATTGGATCGGGTCCCAGTGACTTAATGGTGTAAGAGCTCACCTTGTAACCATAAGGTCCTGGGTTCGAACCCTGGTGGTGGGTGCGTACTGCCTCTGAGTCGCGAACTAGGATGAAACGACTGTCCAGTACTCCCAGGTGGTTTTCCAACGGTTCTCTAACTGATGTCAGCTCATGATGAAATCCTCCAATCAATCAAACAAAATTCCCTACAAAACCAATACTTGAAAATTAATCCCATTTTAGTTTCTAACCGATTAACGAAATTTGTTATCTAAAATGAACAATCCTAGCAATTTTGTTTTAGTTTCTACCCGATCAACGCTTTCTACATTATGTAGTTTGTTATCTAAAATCTACAATTTTGATGACAAATCTATGAAATATTCACTTTGTTGCTAAGATAATTAACCATATGTATGTGATTGTCTAGTTTGAGAATGATATCACCGAAAAGAGTAACTCTTCGCTGATCGCCTTCTCTTTTGTAATACTCAATGGAAATCAAGTGATTTTGGTTTTCAAAGTTTAATAAATCTGTGAACAAACCTCAACCATTACTACATACTTATGTTGCATATTTATCAGATGTATGATGTTGTTAACATTCGCACTACACAATTAGAGTGCATTTGCCCAGAGTTAAGTAGGTGGGGTGAGATTTGAACCGTGGCTGCATTGCTTGAAAGCCAAGCAACCACATCTCCACTGTAAGATACAAGTTAAGAAACCCGGCAAATATAAGTTTTATGCTTCCTGAAACAGAAAGACAATGATCCCCAGTCTACTGAAGATACACTTTTCAGTATCACTTGATACCAAAAGATTACAAAGTTTACAACTAATGGAACTTATGTGGATCTTTGTTAATCAGATACAGCTTGCATAAAAGCTCTGAATAAGTAATATGAAGAGAGTAGTATCAAAAATCAAGTTACTGATTAACAATTATGGCGAAGTTAAAGTATCACAGCCAAAGTCAAGGTCTTTCAAAAGATGACCTTCAAGAACCTATCACACATAGGGAATGCTATGAAATGTCATTCCAAATCAAGTCATGTATGCTGAAGTTGTGGCATGGCGTGGGACGGATGGCTGGTTTTCTACGGCCAGCCCCTGTCACTTGGAGGCATATGATGGCTTCCAATCGTCATCAATGGAATTATTTGGTAAGTTTATTTTATTTTTATATTATTTTATTAGTAGTTTTCATGTTTAGGCTAGGTTTTAGCTTCATGTTTACTATGTTGGGGCATTTAGGGACCATACGGTCATAGCTTGTTTAGGGATGCTCTGGCATAGGAAAGCTATATATCAATCGATAGCTCTCGACGAGATCTATCCTTTGACATTGGTTTCGACCCTTGTAGCCTCTCCTCAGCCTTCCCCAGGATCTTTGATATCTGGGCTTGCGCCCTCTGGGTTATGCTGCCAAAATTTTTCCAGGGAGGCTAGGACTTAGGGAAGCTATATATCAATGGATAGCTCTCGACGAAATCTACCCATTGGTATCGGTATCACACCTTATAGCTTCTCCTCAGCCGAATAGGGAATTTCTTCAAAGGCTACAGGGGAAACCTGTTCTAGGCCTAGAGTTCATGCCGCTGGCTGTTCTCTTGACATTTTTAGCTCCGCGACCTCAGGTTGTATGCCGTTGTGTATGTAGCTAGGGGGCATTACCAACCATAGGGCAGCAGGGGGCAGAGACTGCTAGGCAGGAAAATCCTCGTATTTTTCTTAGGAATAGCTTTTACCCTCTGATTTATATACCATTGGATTCCTCTCGACGAGACGAACCGATTGGTACCCGTCTCGTCCCTATAGGACTTACGGTTGCGGAGCTATGGCTTCTTTAATTTCAGGATTTATCCTCCTATTTTAGCGTTTCTTAGGGTGAACATGCTCTTTCATTTCATCCACGATGTTATCGGCAGTGGGGAGCTGATAAGGAAACCGAGGCTGACCGGCAGCTTAACCGGACTTCTACTGATATGACTGTGGCGACGGTATCAGTAGGAGATAACTTGGGTCGTCACACCGTTCCTGGCGTAGCTCCGTTGATAGTAGCAACGGGCATCAACCAAATTTGTCAAACCTCACAACCTACTGATACATTGGCGACGGTATCAGTGGGGGCTGGACTTAGTCGTCATCAATCCATCCCGATGAACCAAACGAATTCAAAAAATATCATGCCGGATCGGCCGTGGCCCGGATTAACAACGACCGCGCTCTCTGCTGCCGTGTCACAGGGCAGAAGTGATAAGTACACTACTGAGACACACCAGGCCGTGTGTGACCGGCCTCAAGCAGATGTCCCCTGGGCTCTGCGGTCACGCACCACTAACCTTTCTTCTATTTCAGGTACCCAAAGACTAAACTCAGGCGTGAGGCCAGCAACCCCACCCTGTAAACAAACCTGCTACAGAAACTTCAGCGTGAACAATCTCCTTGCGTCAAAAGAAAAAGTCTGTGTGGGGACATGGAATGTCCGCACCATGTACGAGACTAGCAAAGCTGCCCAGATCGCAAGCGAAATGAGAAGATACGGACTACAAGTATTGGGGATCTGCGAAAGCAGATGGAACGGAAACGGACTCACCAAATTGTCAACAGGTGAGTCAGTGATTTACTCCGGTCACCCAGAAGACAACCACACACACACCGAGGGCGTGGCTATAATGATGTCACCAACGGCAACCAAGGCTCTGATACAGTGGGAGGCGATCTCACCCAGAATAATGAGCGCCAGATTCAACTCCAAAGGAAGAAAAGTGTCAATTATACAATGCTATGCACCCACAAACAACGCAGACCTCGAAAAGAAAGAAGAATTCTACAGACAACTACAGGCAACAATAGACAATACTCCAGCCGGCGACATTAAAATACTAATGGGAGACATGAACGCAAAACTTGGACCAGACAACGCAGGAAGGGAACTCATCATGGGTAAAGAAGCTCTGGGAGAGATGAATGAAAATGGAGAACTCTTCGCCGACTTCTGCGCCTTCAATGAACTAGTGATTGGTGGCAGCGTATACAAACACAAGGATATTCACAAGGCTACATGGGTGTCACCAGATGGGCGAACCAAAAACCAAATCGACTTCATCACAATCTCGAGGAAGTGGCGGCGCAGCCTACTGGACACAAAAGCAAGAAGAGGAGCAGACGTTGGCTCAGACCACTACCTCGTACAAGGAACAATCCAACTCAAATTAAAAGCTTTCAGAGAATCAGGAGCTGCAGATAGGCCACAAGCCAAGTTCAACACTCAAAAACTGAAGGACCAGGATACAAAGGATATCTTTACTGCAAGTATAAAGGACAAAGCTGAGACACAAATCAACATTAGCGAAGAGGTCAGCGTCGAAAAACACTGGGACAACCTGAAAACAGTATGGAGCGAAACCTGCATGGAAGTTCTGGGCAGAAAGAAGAGACAGGACAAACCGTGGCTCACTACGGACACTTGGAGGCTAATAGAAGAGAGAAGGATGGTGAAACAAAAGATTCTCCAGTGCACCGACGAGCAACAGAAACAGGAGTTGAATGCAAGCTACAACACACTGAACAAAGGAGTAAAGAAGAGTGCCAGAGAAGACAAAAGAAAGTATTATGAAGCCATGGCCAATGAAGCAGAACAAGCAGCAGGCAAAGGAGACCTCGCAACACTCTACCAAACAACTAGGTACCTCTCAGGCAGAAACTCGTCACAAATTAAGCCAGTGAAGGATGAAAATGGAAAGTCAATCACCAAAGAAGTGGAGCAAAGGAAACACTGGGCTGAACACTTCAAAAGACTACTAAACCGACCGCCACCTACAACGCGCCCAACAATACCAACAACGGAAGCAGAATTACCAGTGAACATCAACCCCCCGACGAAAACAGAAGTCCTGAAGGCAATCAAGATGCTGAAAGCTGGAAAAGCAGCAGGACCAGATGGAATCCCAGCAGAAGCATTGAAAGTGGACCCAGAGACAACAGCAAACCTGATGACGCCACTACTGGAGAAGGTGTGGAAAGAAGGCAAAGTACCCGAGGATTGGAAGAAAGGATACTTATTCAAGTTACCAAAGAAAGGAGACTTAAGTCAATGCAAGAACTGGCGCGGAATTATGCTCCTGTCCATCCCAAGCAAAATACTAAGCCGCATCATCCTGGAAAGGATCAAACAAGCCCTGGATGAAAAACTTCGACCAGAACAAGCTGGATTCAGGAGAAACAAGTCATGTATCGATCAAATCGCCACACTACGGATCATCATTGAACAAAGTTTGGAATGGCAGTCACCTCTCTATCTCAACTTCATCGACTTTGAAAAGGCCTTCGACAGCGTCGATCGAGAGGTGATTTGGCAACTACTTCGCTACTACGGGGTGCCACCGACAATAATACATCTCATCCAACAGTTGTATGACAACGCTGCATGCCAAGTAATCCACAACGGGAAGCTCACGGAATCCTTCGAAGTGAAGACAGGAGTAAGACAGGGTTGCCTACTATCGCCAATGATTTTCCTGATTGCGGTAGATTGGATAATGCGACAAACAGCGGGCAATGAGGAAACAGGCATAAAATGGACTCACACAAAGAACTTGGAGGATCTGGACTTCGCCGATGATATATGCCTGATTTCCCACAAACTGGAAGATATGCAAGTGAAAAGTAACAAGTTGGCAGAAGAAGCATCAAAGATAGGACTCCAGGTGAACATAGAGAAAACGGAGGTGATGAAGATCCCTGGCCAACACCAACAACAACAGACAGCAATCAGCATAAATGGAAAGAACCTGAAAGAAACTACCTCCTTTACCTACTTGGGAAGCATTGTTTCAACTACAGGCGGAACTGACGAGGATATCAAAGCAAGGATCGGGAAAGCAAGGCAAGCTTTCATTACTCTCAAGTCTGTGTGGAGATCAACATCATTCAGCGTCAAAAATAAAATCGGGATTTTCAACTCCAATGTGAAGTCAGTACTACTATACGGATCAGAGACTTGGCGTGTCACAAAAAGCACCTCAAACAAGCTACAGACCTTCATTAACAGATGTCTTCGCTCAATACTCAAGATCAGATGGCCGGAAAGGATCAGCAACAAAGATCTCTGGGAGCGAACCAACCAGGAACCGATTGTGAAACAAATAGGCAGGAAGAAATGGAGATGGATTGGCCACACTCTGAGGAAACCAGCAAGTGACATCACTAGACAAGCCATTGCTCGAGTGGAACCCGAAAGGGAAGCGACGAGTTGGTCGTCCAAGGGTGACCTGGAGGAGATCATGTGAAGAGGAGATGAAAGCATGTGGGCAGACCTGGAGCCAGGTGAAAACTCTAGCAGAGAACCGAACGCAATGGAGACGCATGGCTGAAGCCCTATGTTCCTCTAGGAACTAAAGGAAATAATAATAATAATGCCTTTTTTCATTTAGAGAGGATGCATACAGTATTGTACTTATTTACTAGATACTTTTTATGCAAATCTATGCTGTTAGGTAGGATTATGGCCTTGTGAGGAGTTAAGATTATGGTTACAGTTAGGAGTAGACTGGAGAATAGTGTCATAAACATCAATGGATCTTAAAGTACCATGATATCTACAGTCACCAGAATGGTACAATTTCTCTATAAATTATCTGTGTATTAACTGGGAGACATTCTTACAACACATAAGCCAGAGACTAGAAACCCTAACCTTGTAGAAGAATACAAGAGCTATTGAAAATTCAAAGATTGAAGCTTGAAGCCCTACATTCCACTTAGAACAGAAAAGAATGAAGGGGAGGAGGACAGGACTATTGTTGTTTTTATTGTTTGAACTCAGTTAGCTGGAGTAATTTTTTTCATGCACTTAGCGCTATAAGCCACATTTGTTGGCGGTTGTGGGCTAGTGAAATTACCTAGTTGCTCAGGTTGATGTAGGTGGTGTGGAATTCGGATCTAAGACTCACTGACTGAAAGCTGAATGCTTAAATCAATCAGTGGTAAACATCTCCATACAATAACGGGGCTAAAATCCCTTTTCTTTGATAATAAGCCTGACGATTCCTTATTCCACTACGAATGAAATCATGAAAGCAACTATCACAGCATCTCAATAAGTAAAACGAATTACCCTGGATCTTCATGAAGCCATGTTGTACGTGGAAGGACAACAATATCTGATTGTGTATTTGAGCATAAATCAACGCCTCCAACGCTGCTTAAAATATTATTATTATATGTACCTGGTCTACTAGTAGAATTAGTTGGCAGTGAATCAATCGACTGAAGTCTATTTGATGTATTGACATTTTTGTATTGGCCGTATTCTGAAGATTTGATTCGTTATGACAAGATGATGATGATGTTGATGATGAAGATGAAGCTGACGGTTCACGTGATGAAGTACACTGAGCACTGGATGAACGTGTATTAGTACCACGTGGATGCCAGTGTGATAGATTATATGATGATGTATTTGAACGTTTAACTTTATCATTGGTTGTATTGTTATTACTGTTGACAGAGTTGTTGTTGGTGTTGGTGTTATTGTTGGCATTATTATGTGATGTGTTAGCACTTAGACTAGAATATGCTTGAACAATTTCATTACAGGATGACTGTGCTTTTTGTGTATGACATTTTTGTGCAGCTTTAAGAACAGAATCAACTAATTGTTGTGTAGAATTATTCATACCTAATATTGTCATATGAAATGAACCGACTGGTGTTGAACTCGGTTGAGTACTGATAATACCACGAAAGCGTGTCACTGCCCATGTACGCACATGATGAAATTCATTGCAAACTACAATAAATAATAATGAAATAATAATAGTAATAATAAAATATGGATTAGATGAACATTTTAAACTTTTGCAGATATTGATTGATAAATAGCTTTAACGCTGTCCTTTTTGAAAATCATCTCACTTACAATTCGTTTCTTACAACCAAATGAGTGTAAATAGTTGTCGTATGTTACCTAACTCTGATGTCTTTCCCATCCTCTTTGGCTTTTGTCCCCAACCACTGCTCACAGGTGTTGAGAAGACATTTATTCGTCTGAGATTTTAGCAGCTTTTGCTCCTCTTCGTTTTCGGAATCCACCGGAACGAGTCCCCATGTCTTTGTCAGACCAGGTGAAGCGATAGAAATCCAGTGACATTCGTTAACCTTTGAATGCAAGTTATCAAAGAGGCTTTGCTACTATTTCTACAGTTGAATGGATAAGATGGCAGGCTTTCCTAGGATGGGTAATTGTGTTATATTCAGATAGGCGTTTAGTTTGCGCAGATGTTTCAGAAGGAGTTGCAAACTTGAATCGACCTTCTCTATCGATAATAAGGGGCGACCGGATCAATACACGGTACGATTTTCTGAACTGTATAGCTACCAGCCTTAAATTTGTAAGATGGTAACTGTATCGCTATGGTTTAAAAAACTTTAAATCACTAATCATAGGATATTGGTGAAATAGTCCTAAATAGTCATGGATTTTTCGCCAACTGTTTTAGAGTATAGTAACATGAGGTGATGAAGACTCCTGTTTCTTTTTCCTTCACGTTCCCAGTGGAACATAGGGCTTCAAGCTAGTGGCTTGAAGTTTCTGTAGCAGTGTTTATTTTACAGGATAGGGTTGCTAGCCTCAGGCCAACATTTCCTCTTTACCAGCATTATTTCTGGTTCAGCGAGGTAGAGGAGTGCGTCGGCCGGGGATCGAACCCCGGACCATGTGCATGGTCGGCGAGCGTCCTAACCGCTATACCACCGACGCACAAACATAATCGGGCGAGGCGCATGCAAATAACACACAGCCTTCTTCAAACCTTGCACACAACCATTAGGTCGCGTACTATCTCATCGCCCTTGGCAGATCTGGAAACAAAAGTCACGAGAACACCATCAGAGCATGTGACAGGTTAGGTACCCCTGCAGACTCCTATGTAACCGTGATATTCAGCCTATGAGAACTGAAATATGTTAAGCTCATTAAAGGCAGAAGTTAAAAACAAAAAATCATCAACAGAATCTTTGAATTGGAAATCAGTTCAATTGATTGTTTCCACTCAACTTATGCCATATATGATTTTCTCTTAACAGTTAAACACACAATAAATCAATATCCTACTATGTATGTGACTATTAAACCAAACTGGTACTGAACACATGGTACATCAGATGTCTTTTTTAAATAATTTGACTACCTCTCAACTTATTTATTCATATCGAGTAATGGATAACTTTGCAGAACGTGACTTTCAGTCACTTATACTAGTGACGAGTGGCTGAATACCACTCACACTAACCAACAGTGCCTCATAGTCAGTGATTTATTTACACATAGTAAGGCCATTTCATCGTTTGAGACTGAATTCACCAGCGGTGTATCCGGTTTGCTTCAGCTCAGAGAGTCTATTCAGTTCAAACCACCCACTGTGCGTCGGTGGCACAGTAGTTAGGACTCTCGCCGACCATGCACATGGTCCGGCGTTTGATCCCCTGCCGACGCACACCTGATATCTATGGTCGACCTGCAAAATTTGGGCTACCGATATCACATGCTGAAAATTCCGTACCTGCACCAAAAATACGGTGTGGAATCAAGCTGTAATCAAAAAAATAATAATAATAAAAATAAAAAAATATTGTCGCTGACTTCTACTTGAGCGAACAAGTAATGACCAAACTGGATTTACAATTTGCAAAGTACGCAGTTCACATTGAAACTTCACCACAGTTTGCTTTAAAAACCGAAATTATTCAGATGCCAAAATGTGTAATCTGCTTGATACCATAAACGGCAATCACGAAAGTAAGCATAAATGTATGGCACTTTATATACTACTCACTCATTCACTGATATGAGTAGCTAGCTGAACACCACTTATATCGACCAGTAGTGCCTCTTAGACAGATAGCAGTGAACTAAACACCAAACGGTTGTTTCGCTCATTCGGGGTAATTATTGTTTAGCAATATGGTTGTAATTTGTCAACAGTTAACTAAGAGATACAAATACCCAATCAATCCATTGTGTATTTTATTCACGATAACATATTGAGAAAGATCAATGCTGAGAGACATATCCCTCTAAACTAAAAACTGATCGTTGTATTTTTGATAATGACCTACTAACTAACTGTTGTCATTGATGAATAGTTTGAAGTTTACTACAGTAGACGGATAATCGAGTGCTTTTGATGTGGTTGTGTTCTCTGAGCTGGATAGTTAATTTGCGAAGCTTTCATCGCCCCCTACTAGGCGACATCTTCAGTGCATACTTCAATTTGAAGTGAGCTTTTAGATTTCTCCACGAGTTTATTCATCATCTCTCCTGGTGACCTTAGATGTGATTGGTTGTTTTTTGTGTTTTCACAACTTCTAGACTACTTGTATTGGAAGTGATTGTTTCTTTGACTTGAACTTTGACCCTTTGTGTGTGAGGTTTCTTTCTTATCGGTTGATAAATTTTGTCTATCTCGATATGTCTATTGATTGATGATTCACTGGAATACCAGGAGAGATGATTAATAAACTCGTGGAGAAATCTGAAAGCTCACTTCAAATTGGAGTATGCGCTGAAGATGTCGCCTAGTAGGGCGATGAAAGCTTCGCAAATTAACTATCCAGCGCTCAGAGAACACAACCACATCAAAATCATCCACCTGAGCTACAAATCATCCATCCATCATATCTAAATCGAATGCTTAGAGGCTTTCATTAATTACAACCAAGAGGCTGTTATTGCAGATTAAGTTTTAAAAGTGTTTCAAGGTAAACAAAAAGGTTAACATATTGTAACGACAGAAGACAAGGGCCAGACAACAGATCGCTTGTTAAGAAAATCAAGAGATATTTATAGATTTTCATGCATATCATTATTCGTTATTTTAGCAGAGAAACAACGTCTTCTGATTGGTCGTTTTTTACTCAAGGTTATTCTGTCACCTCTTTGTGGTTGTGTCTTAGATAGTCAGGCCATATATCTGGGAATCGTATTTGCAGACGTTAAGTCTGCTGTGATTGGTTGGTGAGTTCCTTAAAGCTAAGGTTTGTTGTTGTTTTTTCTCATGACTCCTATTCGGGACGTAAACATTGACGTAAATTGTTGTCTACAATTTTGGCTTGCAGGCAGCTCTCACCACAATATCACTTTAAGACTGAATGGTATAGCTAAATTCACTTACAATTAGGAAGAATAGAATCTGTTCAGCAGTACATCTCCATTTCATCCTGTTCTCTGTTGTAGTCCACGACTGCCCATTAACTTTCATTTACTCTCCACACGACCTCCTCCACGATACCCCTGGAACCTCAACGTGCCGCTTCCCATTCGGGTTCCACCCAAGGGCCTGTTGCACGATATCAATCAATAGTCTTCTCAGAGTATGTCCAATCCATCCCTATTTCCTTCCGCATATTTGTTAGGCAATATATTTCGTTATTTGCTTCTTTACCACAGTTTCTTGTTGCCTATCCTTTCTGGTTGGTCATCTGATCTTCAGTATTGGGAGGAGGTAGGTGTTGATGACAACAGTCCACCACCTGTTGGATTATTGTTGAAATTATCAATTTTAATCGAACTGAAGTGCTCAACCTCTTTTGATATGTTTGCTCTGACCGAAACGGAAGCATTGACAGTGCCTTAAGATTGACATAATTTGATTTGGTTGATGGCAGTTAACAAGTGAATCTGCGACATGCATTTTGTCCCGTCGAGGACTCATCATCTTGTGCACTTGTGCCTCTTTTGTCATTAATTGTTTTCCCGAAAGCTGACATGTTAATAGAGATCGAGTATTTCGATTCAATAAAACCAAACGATAAGAAACTGAAAATAATGATTTCAAATAACCATAGTGGCGTATAACACTTAGGCGTCTGAAACAATGGGTGCTGGATTCGAGTATCAATGGGAACACCACTACACACTGGGGATGCAGATACTATTGCTTAACAAGTCGTATATAGAAAGGAATGTGTGTCCTGGATTCGAATGCTGGCGACAACTGACTGAAAAACTGAACTATTACTATTATTATTATATTTTAAGTAATTATAATGCTAGGACTAATTCATCGGAGTCAATAATATACTCCGGTCAACCTGGTGACAACCTTAAACATTCTGGGTCAGTTGTTATCATAATGTCACTAACAGCACAGGATGCTCTTAAGCAGTGTGAACCAATATCCTCCAAGATATTGACGGCTAATCCCAACTCAAAAAGAAAGAAAATTACAATACCATACTCCCATAAACAATGCAGACCAAGTGCAGAACGACACATTCTACAGACAACTGCGGACAGTGTGAAAATCTGCTGCACTCAAAGAAAACGATTCGAATTCACAACCCTAATGTCAAGTCAGTCAACGCTTCCCACATAGTTCAGAGAATTGACGCGTCACCAAAGACATTTCCAACAGACTGCAGACTTTTTATCAGCAGCTACCTTCGCTAAAGATTAAATGATCAGATGAGATAAGCAACAAAGAACTTTGGCAACCAACCAATCAACCAATAGAGATGGATTGGACATACGGTGAGTGACATCAAGTGTTAGTCAAACCCTCCTCAAGTGGAACCCGAATTGGAAACGACGAGTTGGGCGTGAGTCCGACAGGGACATGAAGGCGAGCGTATGATGAGGAGGTGAGAGCTTATGATCAATTGCGGAGTCAGCTAAAGAGGATTGGAGAGAACAGAATGAAATGGCGAAGTGTTGTTGAAGCCCTATGTTCCACTTGGGATGCAAGGGAATACCTATCATAATAATAATAATAATCAAAGTCCAGTAAAATAAAATCCAGGATAATTCTGAAAAAAACGGAAATAGTACAAAAATATATCTACCTGAAATTAAATATTTCTCTGATAAAACAACATCTGTAACCATTGACCGATGAACATTAAAAGTTTGAAATAATTGTGGACTATAACCAACAATTTCTGGATGTTGTACTATTAAACATACACGACCAGACAATGTACCATAGGCTATTTCCATCCAATTACGACCTGAATAAGCTGAAATTAAACAAAAAAGAAACAACACGAAATATGAATAAAATGAAAGTATATTTATGAAATTAAAAAAACAATGATGATAATTCTCACAATCGAACTCCAACAGTAAACAGGACCTCATTTGACAGCACATAAAACAACAAATGAGCATTCGAGAGCATCGAGGATTACTCTCTTCATCTCTCTGCCTGTCTCAGTATTTGCACTCATATATACATATATACATATATATATATATATATATATAGGAGTTAAAGTTCATGGGTTGACCATTGAGTCAGGTTCCAGTGACTGGATGGTCTACCAGCTTGCCTTGTAACCTGAGCGTCCTGGGTTCAAAACCCGGCGGGTGTGCACTACTGATAAACCACAAACGAGGACAAAAGAGCTGTCCAGCAATCTGTGGTTTTCAATGGTTCTTTAACTGATAAAAATCCATAGTCAAACTTGAAAAACAAAACTCTCTGAAAAAATTTTACACACAAATTCCTCCTAATGTATTTGAACAAAGCAATAAGAGTAAATAAAGCAGGATGAAAAATGAATATCTCTTGAACTCTGTAGAAGCCATCGTTAGTAAACAGTTAAAACCTCATTTATGTATTCTGAAAGAAGCTGTCTTTCCCCACCTTGGTAGACCGTCCTTTAAACATTCACTACATTTATTTTGACAACCAATTAAAAAGATCAGAAAAATGTTTTCCTTATACATATGTAAAAACATGTAATAAACGGTAATAAAGCAGGATTTAATGAATTCATCAAATTTCGGTAGAAATACTCTTCATCTGGATACTTTCTCTCTCTCTACATACAGGGATATAAAACCAAGATAAAATGCATAACGGTCCAATCATATCACTGAAATAAACAATTAGTTATCAGTGAATGAAAGAAATTGAATATATATCAAGAATTGCAAACTAAATAATGTTGATAATAATAGTAATGGTAATAATAGTAATGAGTTAAGATAGTAGTAATGATAGAGGATAGTTTCAAGTGAGTTAGAAATAGTAATAATAAGAGGTAGAATAAAACGTGGAATAAAATATCAATAATAATAATGATAACAGTTATTAAGTACCACGGTGGATTCAGAGTAACCACCATTTCCTTTTGTAAGGAGAGACCTGTTTTACAAACTGTAATTGCACAAGCCTCCATAGTTGCAAGCATCCTGCTGTTTCTTTGTCTGCTGACAACAGAGACTGATTTGAAGGTGTAAATATCATGTCTGTAGTCCACAAGATGTTTTGCTATTGAACAATTTGGCACAATTTTCGACTTCAGCTGTTTTCAACTACTTTGGTGAATGCTTCATCACGCGAGTAGACAATCGCCTTTCTGTACGAACTGTATATTTGCTTCTGCAAAAACACTCAAATTAATGCATGCAGTTTGAAGTATCAAGGACTGGCGACTGGTCTTTCCTAGATTGTTGAAACCCTCGCTTGATGGTGGTAAAGAACACGAACTTTGCAGCATAATAAGTTCCCTTGATAGCTTTATCGAGTCTTCGTTTGACTGCTTATTGTACATCTCCTTTGAGTGGCAAATTGATATAGACATGTTTCTTCGGAACTGTTTGGATAGTTTTGTTGGGGCTTATTTCCTTAGAGTATTTATTGATAAACTTCTCAGGATATCTATTCATAGATAAAATATCCTTCAGAGCCTTTATTTCATGTTTAATTTTACTGTCAGAATAAATCTTTTAAACTCTGTTGAACAGTGTTCTGACTAAGTTCTTTATATACCGGTTTGGATCGAAACTTTTAAAATGTATTTCCTGTCCTGTCGATGGATGCTTTCTAAATATAGATCTTTCTATTGTGCCATCAGTCCTTGTTACTAGAGACACATCCAGGGATATAATAGCAAACATGTTCCTCGTGTTCTGTTGTGAAGTTGAGATCCCGATGGTATGAGTTGAATTTGATCAGCAGGTCTTCAGCTTTTGATTTGCTTTAAGACAATAGAAACACCACTATCAATATATCTTAGGTATAATTCTATTTGTTGTGTATGCTGTCGCAAAATACCGGCCTGACAAGGTAAAATCCGCAATAATTCGCATTGAAACCCCATCACCTTGACAGAATAGACGCCTATCGGATTAAAGTTGGACATTTTTATCACGTAACAGCAACAATTTCTTCAATTCTGATATTGGAATGTACATATCGTTAGCTTTTCTACATATAAAGTCAATGGTGTGAATGACTGGAACATTTGTGAATAAGAAAGTAACATAGAAAGAGACCTTGTGTGTAGAGTATCCAGCTGAACAGTAGCTCTACCAAAATTTGATGAATTCATTAAATCCTGCCTTATTAACTTTTGCTGTTTGTTTTAAATTTTAAAAAAATATGCAACATGTATATGTTATTAGTGAAAAGTAGATGAACACTAAATTTAATTTTATTTGGACATACGACTTTAATTATTCAGCTGATAAAGTTGGACTGATTGAGAATAAGTTCAGCTAATTTGTCCCTCTGTTCCTATTTCATCAGATTCCTTTCTATTTATACGAGAAAAGATTGTGTTAAGAGACACTTCTCATAACTTTTACATTATTATTGGACAATTTCATCATTAAAATTGAAGTCCTGATCTGATAACACTGAACAAGGAAATATTGCTTAAGATGTTTACGGTGTTTTTAGTTGTATAGGAATTCCTGGAAATTATTCACATTCGCCTAGAAAACTCAGTTTCATGACTGATTCTTCTTTTTATGCAAGGTGCAAGCTGTCAATCTTATCTTGCAAATGAAATTCGATGTAGAGTAGTTATGTGAAATCCCATCCTTCTTGTATATGAATTACTCAACTTCGCAGAACTTAGATGGGAATATATACTATACTAAGGTTTAGTCACCATATGACATCAAAGTATAGTAACTCGAAAAAATTCATGATTGAGAAAATATAAACAATTATTTTCAACAAATTCTTGTTTGAGTATTGGTTTAGTAGGGGTTGTGTTTAATTGGTTGGAGGGTTTCATCATGAGCTGAAATCAGTTAGAGAACCATTGGAAAACCACCTAGGAGTACTGGACAGCTGTTCCATCCTAGTTTGCGACTAAGAGGCAATGCGTACCCACCACTAGGGGTTTGAAACCAGGACCTTATGGTTACAAGGTGAGCTCGTAGACCATTGAGCCACTGGGACCCGATACAATGACCGTCCCATGAATTCCAACTTCTGCCAATTCATGACATAGCGCGACCATTTCTTAATGTCTTCTTCGATGGGTTACTACCTCATCTTCAACCTGCTGTACCCTACTGGTCATGGCTTCCCACTAGAACCCTAGGTTAACTGCCTGAATAAATCCAGTCGCTAGTGGGCATAAGATTAATTTTCAAGTATTGGTTTTGTAGGGATTGTGTTTGACTGGTTGGAGAGTTCGAACCCCACTGGGGGCCAACTGATGAAGAGTCCCAAACTAGGACGAAACAACTGTCCAGTTCCCCCTGCTGGTTTTTCAATGGTTCTCTAATTGATGTCAGCTCATGATGAAACTCTCCAACCAATGGAATTCTTCTTCAGTCTATACAATTGTAAATCCACTGGTAAATCAGAATTATATCAGATGCATCGTGGGACAAGTATAACATGGGATGGAACAGTAGTCAGTTAGTTTTCCCTACAGTTTGTAATATGCATGATCCACGAGAACATGAGATAAAATGAGATGAAAAAACCAATGATATAAATATATATATATTATAGTCAGCAAAAGTATAGGTTTCAGGGATGAATGTAATCAATGGTGTGTGCGACAATATGAATACAAGTTCTCGCACTACCCATTACTATATTTGAAGTCTACTTCAAATGTCTACTTTTAGTAAAAACCTAAATAAAAGACCATAAGACGATGATGACTTTTTGTATATTGACTGACTGCACAAATTATCCGCCTAGAACTTAGTACAGAAGTGCAACATTTCAAATTGCTGTACTTCAGAACAGCTAGAGTTAAACAAGGGATAAGAAATGCAGAGCAGTAAAGAAAAATATACGCAACAAAAAGGTAATTACATGAAGAATTATCAGAGCTACAAATCTATTAGATCGCAATGAGTGTGGCGACCTGCCTAAAGCTTTGGCTGCCGAAAACCTCAATCAGTGTACTGCATATAATTCCTTTTATTTATTTTGTTTAAATCTACTAAGGTATGACTTCTAATAGTATTATTCTCTCTAGCGGGTATTTGAAACATTTACAAACTTCTAATTCATAAGTTTCTACTAAATATGGGAAAAAGCTTTCTCCTCGCTGGCACCTTATCCCAATATATGGAATGACCGGTTCCTCAGGAGTGGTATCCTTGGTTTACAAAGTGTACCTCTGAACCTCTTAAAATCAGCATTCAACAAAATGTAGTGTATTTCTCGAAGGAGAAAAATAAGAGATATAATAATAATGGATTGGTTTGCTCCTCAAGTCAGATAAAACTATGTCGCATGATCTACTGTCAACTGATCTTTTATTTGAGGATCCTGGACTAAGAGATTATATCGTACGATAAACCGCGCTGGAAATTCTGTACATTATATAAACATTGTTCGGAGTAAAGCTATTATTATTTTTATTGTTAAGACATGTCACCGAAATTTTTGAACCACTAACGTTTTGTATCCTCGAGATCTCAGCACGGGAAACACCGTTCCTAGTCTCTTAATACCTCATTGCCAACTTTATATTAGAGCTTTCAACGTTCATACTTCATATCCGGCCACGCTGCGCACGTGATCCTGGTTCAATTTCCAGTCGACGCACTCCTAAACCTTGCCCAGTTGGTATTGACTCCGGAAAAGAGGAGAGGTTGACGATGAGTTTAGCCACCCCACCTCGTAAAACTACTAAAACCTAAAAGTTTGAAGCCCTACGTTCCACCTAGAACAGTTTCTGGAAGTTAAAAGTATGCAATAGAATAGTTCCTTCAACAAATTATGACTGTTCAAACTTCACACACTAAG